ATATAACTCTGTCCTCGGGAGCCAAAAAAACACAAACAAAAAAAAACCAACTTACCACGTTATAGGTGAAACCGCATTCTATCGAACTTGCTTTGATCCACTGGAGTGCACAGCCCCCCCCCCGGAGCACTGCTTTATCACGTTATATCCAAATTAGTGTTATATAGGGTTGCATTATATCGGGGTAGAGGTGTACCACAGAAGCAGTGCATTCTGTCCTAGTTGTGCCTTTTGTTGCATAAACACCTCTGATTAGAAAAAAAAGTTTTCCCCCTTATGATAAGCAGATACACAACTAATAAAGTAGACTCTTAAGAAACAAGATGAAAATTAATCAGAGATAGATAATGATCCAGTGTACTTGTACTAGAGATTTTTTAAATAAATCAGTACAGATGTGTTGGTTCTTGCTCTAGAAGTCTCATGCTTATAATCCCCTTTACTTATTTTTAGGGTGATCTAATGCATTTCTCAGTTTTTAAAAATATTATTGTAGATGTTTTCTCAAAAAAACCAAAACATTCTATTAACCCTTCTTTAGATGAAAGCTGACATTTTCCATTTTAAATCTCTATAGATACATCAAGCTGGCAAATTAATCTGCAGGAAGTGTAAGAATCATGTCACCGACCTAACAGGACATGTGGTTCAACAAGGAACAAGGCGCTACAGACTATGTAAGGAATGTCTAGTTGAAGCAGGTATTGATAGCATTCGTGATGACTTAGATGCAGAACATCCTCTTCCTATCTCTCTAGGAGACAACATTTCTGGGTGGCACCTGGATGAAGAGCACAGATCAGATGTAGAGATGGTGGAGGATGAACCTGATAAATTTGTCATCCAACAAGTTAATGATGATAGCACAGATGAGACTGAAGAAAAAGTGAAACCAAATCCTAGATAGTTGTATTTGGAGTGAAATCTACTACTGCTCATCTCATCACTGACTTACTAAGTCTTGCCGGTTGAGACAATGATCTACTTAATTAATAGATCCTTTTTAACAATGGTGTATGGGAGCAAAATAAGGCCTACAATCTAATGTGCACATAGTTTTGGACATTCCTTTGTGTCCATAGGAACTTCTTTCCAACTACATTTTTTGCTACAATGTAAAGATCCCTGAAACTTGGCCAGAAACAACTGAATATCTAGAGAGCTATTAACAGGGCCGGCTTCAGGCACCAGCTTCTCAAGCAGGGGCTTGGGGCGGCCGCTCGGGAGAGGGGGGGCAGGTCCAGGTATTCGGCAGCAATTCGGTGGATGGTCCCTCACTCCGGCTCGGAGGGAAGGACCTCCCCCCGAAATGCCGCCGCCGG